TTCGATATCATAAGGCTTCTGTATTATTGAAATTGAAAAAAAAATTTCAGCGGTTCAACAGTTATTATCTAAATAACTGAGAAATGGGCGAAACGATTTTCTTTGGTCTGGAAATTATTTGTCTGACCTATGAGGGGTCACGCACACACCAAGGGGAAACCGATTGTTATCAGTCACACCCTACCAAGAAGCGAGCGAAACAAGTAACCGGCTTCGGGTTTTTTTGTGTATGACAGATTTATAAGTAAATACACCAATCATACCTTACTGCAATTTCTGATGCTGATGATCCACATTTGCGTACCCTCCGGTGTGTCTGGTACAGCCTACAAAGGACATAGGTTCAAACATGGGATACGGGATACTATTCCGAGTTTATGTAGCTATGCACTAAATTTTAACAAATAATACGCATGCACATATTATTGAGTGTATCGTTTCACTCCTTCTTATGAGAAATTGCTTAGAATGAGGCGTTTGATGTGGCATCGCTATTTTGAAATTATACTTCTTCAACTACTATTCAGTTGCGTGAAGTAAATTAAAAAATTGCAAAATGTTTCTTGTAATGATGAAACAAATAGAATTCAGGTTACTATGTTCTAATAAAGTGAGGACTATACTTCATGATACTTATACAAGAACTAGAAAATATCCACAGAGATCTTTCAAGTTACAGACCTTCATAGTCCCATCGACTTCCATTATTTTCGCTGTGTTCAACTCGTCTAGCAAACTGTCATTAATGAACAATAAGGCACAGCCTTCACCTCCTGCTGGTGGATGTATCACTCCTTTGAAATTTCCTCTCACAATTCCCTCCATTATCTCATTCGTTTCGAGAATTTCTCCCAACTCTTCGAGTGTTTTTGGGTCCTTTGGCCAACCCATTTTATCTCTTTTGCGTCTTACGACGCTCTCAGCTGCAGCTACTGAAATGCTGTCTGCAGCAGTAGGATGTCTTCAAGTACCGGACAAGATTGAAAATTAATTCTTCTTATAAGTAGATTTATTTTATATTGCGCATTCCAGCAATTATCGAGCAACGAGCCAGCGTGGAATTTTTGACACTGAAAGATGCCTTCTTCTAGATTGTTTATTGTTCAGTTCATGAAAAACGCACATACGCAGCTTATCAATGGAAAAAATTCATTAATATTTCCCGAGGATTGGTTCTGAAAAATACATCGAATGTTTTCCCTAGAAAAATGTTCAAATTTTGATTAGAGATAGAAGGCTCAAAATTTTTGCAAGGAGTTCTTTCAATGTACCTAGTGGTGGTACAATTTTTAAATCCAATAAAAAAAATCAACGCTGGATCGTTGAGCGATAATCTGTGGAATATAACATATATGGTTCGTTACGTCGAGAGGCTTTAACAACTTACCCTCTGCACAACGGTGCACAATACTCTAATTATTTTTAGTTATCTTGTTTTTCTAAGCAATCCTACTTTATTCATTGAGCATGAGGCCAAATGGATGAACTCCTGAGCCTGAGCATGAATTATTCTCACAGAACTCTGAGTGCATTTACAAGAATGTAATTACATTCTTGTCATTAGAAATTAAATCCAACAAAATTTCATCATTTCTTTTTACCGCTTGGGTAGTTCAATCACAAAATGCATTTCCAGCACAATCAATAATGAGGTATTCACTCGACCTGGGAATGTTTCATTTTTCATATGAGGCAAGATGAAAAATTATCAGTGGAATTCTCGAAAATTCATAATTTAAATACCGTGGAGACTGTACAAGATAAGGTCAAATAGTGCCTAAATATTTGCTAAAATCAGCCTCCGCCTCATCTTTTAAGCTCACCCATAATTCTCAGCTCGTCTCGAATAGAAAAAAAAAATGCATATCATATGAGGAAACTTCATTTTAAGCTTCAAGTCGATCGATCGAATGAGGTGTATTTTTTTTTGTTCAGCATCTGTTGTTTGTTCGGAAAAAATTAACGGAATATTTCTTACTTCAATGAAGCTCTGCGAAAGATGTCAGTTGAAAAATCATGTGACGCGTAAGTCCGTTCTTTTATGCACTCTCTTGCAGCAACACCAGCGAGTACTCCCTGTTTGCACTTGTATTCGTGTATCCCTCCTACTACTGTGATTTCGCCCCTAGATAATACCCAAAACTTCACTGGGCAATTGAAAGCAGACTGGTATTGTGAACATCTGAGAATTATTTTTGAAGCGCTCGAAGATGCGAAATGGAAAATGTGATTGTTAAATAAATAGCGAATATTTCCATCTTCCTCTTCAATAGCAATTAATTTGTCAATCAATTCTTCCTCTTCCAGTTGATTCAATTTACCGACAAATTGTGCATCTTCCAATCCAATCAATTTCCAAACCGATTGTTCATTTTCCTAGCAACAGTAGAGGTAAAAAATATGAACTTAGAGAATTGAACCATGAATTCTTATTGACTGAAGTAATGACACTCACTAAAGTGTAGACAGATGGCATTTTTTCTCATTTCAAGCACCCCGGTGAATAATAATAATTATATATAACTGATAATACTGAAATTGAATTGAATAATAATTATTATAAGTGATAGAATTTAGCAGAAATTTGATTTTATGGCTTTTTTATTCGCTCCTAATGATGGGGAATACAGAAGGATCGACGCGCACTGATCACTGTGAGTTTACTAACAACACCCGCAGTCTTGGTAGTGTACGACTACGCGGAACGAGTGAAATGCGCCATTAGGATTGGCTTGTTTGTAGGTCTGAATGCCCAATGTCATGTAGGGGTGTTTTGAAATTATGTTGATTTAAACTAATTCGGGGACGTAAAACGAGAATATCGTCGTAATTTTTTTCGTCAGAGCGGGTCGTGCTATTTTTATAAATAATTTAATTGTTTAAACAGTCATATTACAAAAACAGTTAGTAATATATCGAAAAGTTTCATACAAAAAAATAATTCCGATGAAAAAAAAATGTTTTTGTTCTATAACTTTTTTCCACAACTGTCATAGCGGGTGGACCGTTAGCACTTGTGCGAGGTGTCAGCGTGTTCGGAGACGTATAACAGCGAATTTAACGAAGGCAGAGAAAAATAGTTGAGATGAAAAATGTTGGTATTTAAGTGGTGCATATAATGAGTTTTTTGACATTTTTCTTTACAACTTGCAGTTAATGAAATATTAACGATCTCTTTGTTTCTGACAATTTTTCCAGTGAACGGTGCGAGATGAAGAAAAAAAAATCAAAAAAGTCCTCTAAGCAAAAATTAATAAATTTTATCGTATGTTGTTTTGTTATATCTCAATTATTTACAGAGATAGAGCCCGTTAACAGTGACTATACGCTACGCACTGCCCGGGTCCCAGTTAGCGGTGTTGGTTGGGAAATCATATCTCCATCGAAAATAGTGCAATAAATTTTCAAAAATCGACTTGAGAAGACGAACAAATTTTGTTTCCACTTTTTACCTGTAGTTCTCATAGCTTTACAGTTTGCATGAGCGAGCGTGTAGATGCCCGTGCCCTTACTTAAGAGGATATATATCTGTAAATAATAGAGTTACTAGCGAACGGGGGCTTCGCGCCCGTTCTAGTATCATTATATTTTACTGAAAAGAATTCTTATTATTTCAAATAATTGATTTGTCAGTTTTATAACTATAACATTTTATTATTATTATTATCATTATTATTCTTATTATTACAGGTGTATATATACACTACTGTATATCGCCACCGTCCTTCTAACGGCAAATATTATTAAAAACTATCATTATATTTTACTGAAAAGACGGGCGCGAAGCACCCGTTCGCTAGATTATATTATATTATGTTAATTTATTTTATTGTTTTCTTTCCAATTTTTCTTTGCGGTTAGATTAAATTAAATTTATTGGATTCTAATCCCATTGTAGTATACAAATTGTGGGAACAGTTTTTTTCATTTTCAAATGAAGAGATAATTATGTTAAATAATAAGGAGAGTATTGATACTTTTTTTGGGATGATGATCTATATATTTTTTACAATTACATATTGTTCAAAAATTTCTTTATGTACTACATTTTTCATATAACGATTTCCATCTTTTTCATTTTTTATGCTGCCTCCTTCATTTTTTTTAGATGCCGAAAAAATATCAATATGTTCCCTTTCTATGATCTAATTTCAATGGAAGAAAGTGAAAAAAAAACAGATACGTGATCAGTAAGAAAATAAAAATTTCGATTTTTCAATGTCTCCGGAAAGTTTTAAAATTGATATATTTTTTCAAATAATGGAAGAATACCCATCAATTCAATTTCTATCCTCACATTTTCATAGAATACATTAAAAAAATAGCAAAGAATAAAAATCGGACATAAAATTTTTTATCGGATTAATATAATGTAATGACCGAAATTTGTTTCCAACACTGACCTATTCATTTCCGAGAAATTATGTGAGTGCATCCATTCTATATATTAATCGAATCATCTGTACATGATAATATATGTTTTTATGCAGTTAACACACATCCGAAATGCCATACCACGAAATCAGCGCACAGTAAAATTCAATAACGGCATGTTTCGGCGAGAATTTAACAATAAAAAACCGATGGAGTACGGATGAGGGTTAAGGAGTGGGATTCTGGAGAAATGAGAGCGACACGAGACACGCTGAGTTTGTCACAAGGAAAACTGTTTATTCCGAGTCAATTTGAGATATGGGTCGAGAAATATACACAAAATCAGAGCCGCGAGCAAACACTGTTTCCGTTAAACACGGTAGAGAAAAACGATATGTTGAGATGCACACGCGGTTTAGAGATAACCGTTTTAGAGCAAAAAAATGACGCTGCACAGAGAACGACCGTTGTGAGTGAATAATAATAATGATTCGAGAAGACGAAGGTCAGCGCTACCGGTGCGTGGTTGGAGCACCTACATGGCAGCGCGGCCGGTCAGGCAGAGCGAGTCAAGGAAGTGCTGCNCCAGAGAAGATCAACAATATCAACAGAGACCAGCTTCAAAATCAGCTGGTGGAGATTGGCAACGGAACCAGCTTGGAGATCGGCCTGGTCAACGTCGTCGAGGCGGTCCTAATTGTCACAACTCTGGAGAGACCGTCCTTCCCAGGATGTAGAGCTGTGACACGAGCAAGAGGCCACTTCGATGGCGGGAACCGCTCGTCGTAGAGAAGTGCCAGGCTGCCGACTTTGACTTCGTGGGACGGATGATGCCACTTGGAGATGGACTGGAGCTGCTGCAGATACCCTGTAGACCATTGTTTCCAGAAGAACTGCAGCCTCTGCTGAATCAGTTGCCATCTAGAGAGCCGTCCAACGTTGAGATGATCCAAAGAAGGCTCCGGAAGAGCTATTGGAGCTTCTCCAATGAGAAAATGCCCTGGGATTAAGCAGGACAAGTCATCAGGGTCTTCCGAGAGCGCTTGTAGAGGCCTGGAGTTGAGAACTGCTTCAATCTGGGTCAGCAGCGTCGAAAGTTCCTCGAACGTGAGAGTTGTATCACGAACCGTTCGAGCGAGATGATACTTCACCGACTTTACCGCTGCTTCCCATTTTCCTCCGAAATGAGGGGCTCCAGGAGGATTGAACGACCACCGCGTTCCATCCTTGAGACATACTGCAGAGAGATGCTGGAATTCCTTGGCGCCAGCAGAGAACAGCTTCTTCAGCTCCTTGTCAGCACCGAGAAAGTTAGTGCCACAATCACTGTAGAGATGTCTGCAGTACCCTCGACGACTTACGAACCTCCTGTAGGCCGCGATGAACCCATCAGCAGAGTAATCCGTGACAGCTTCCAGATGGAGAGCGGACGTGGCCATGCACACAAAAATCACCAACCAGCCCTTCTGGGTCTTGTGACCACGCCCCTTCCACGTCTTGAGCGACACTGGTCCGGCATAATCCACACCAGTGTTAGAGAAAGCCCGATCCGACACAAGACGTGCCACTGGAAGCTGTCCCATCAGCTGTTGAGCTCGAATCCCACGATGACGCGCACATTCAACGCACTTGAGGATGAAGGATCTTACTGGTAGACGACCTCCAATAATCCAGTAAGCCCTCCTGAGATGCGCCAACGTGAGTTGAGTTCCACCATGCAGCGTTCGCTGATGAGAGTCCCTAATGAGAAGCTCTGCGAGCGCGGAACCTTTAGGGATGATCGCCTGATGCCTACTCTCTGGTCCTAGAGTTGAGAACTTCAAACGCCCGCCCACTCTGAGAACACCCTGTTGGTCGATGAAGGCCGTGAGCTTGGTCAACGGATGAGACTTCTTCAGTTGGAATCCGTGAGAGATAATGTCACACTCGGCTTGGAGATGAAAGGCTTGAGTCGCCTTGACCCAATAAAGCCGAGCTGCCTCGATGCTTTCAGGGCTAAACACTGCAGGGACAACAACAGCCTTCTTCCTTCCCAACTTCCGCATCATATTCCCTGCAACCGTTTGACAAATTGCTGTGATTCGCAACAATTTGTAGAGAGAGGAATATCGCGTGCAAAGATCCCAGAGACTTGACCTCGCGAGAGAAGCAGTTAGAGTCACCCCAGGCTTCTCCTCGAGATTTGTTGACGGGTCCAATCTTGCGCTCCCTTTCGGCCATTGAGAAGAATCCTTGCGTAGCCATTTTGGGCCCGTCCACCACAAATGATGGGCATTGAGTTGAGCTACCGAAATGCCTCGAGATGCACAATCAGCAGGATTCTCCTTCCCACTGACGTACCTCCAATTCGCTTCCTGCACGAGTTCCTGAATGCTGGCTACTCTATTGTGGACATATTCCTTCCACCTGGAAGGATGAGCACAGATCCACGCAAGAGCAACAGCTGAGTCTGTCCACAAATGTACCATAGCGGTACCAAGGTTGAGCTGAACAATAACGTACCTTGTGAGCTTGGCTAGAATGACTGCGGCGTTGAGCTCAAGACGCGGAATGGTGAGCTTCTTGAGAGGAGCCACCTTGGTTTTAGCAATAGCCAAAGAGATGCTAACACCATCCGCACTCGTCACCTTCAAATAAACCACCGCAGACATCGCTAGTAGAGACGCATCTGAGAAGCCATGGATTTCCACCTGAGATTCCTTCCTACACCCCAGCCAACGAGGGATCGAGAGTTGTTCCACTTGAGACAATTCTTCACGAAATTGAGCCCATTTCTGGACCAGATGCGGGGACAACTCATCATCCCAATCTTTTTTCTCCAACCAGAGTTGCTGGAGTAGAGCTTTCGCACGAATCACCACCGGTGATAGCAATCCTAGAGGATCGAAGAGTTGAGCAATCTCGGACAGAATAATCCTCTTCGTTGTCTTCGTGTCGGCTGAGAGATGGATAGAGAACTTCAATCGATCTGTGTTGGGATCCCATTTCAGACCAAGGATCTTAGTGACGGAGTCCTCTAGCGGCTTCAGACTCTGAGAGAAACCGTCCGGTGTCAGAGAACGAAGTAGAGACGGACTATTCGAGTGCCACTTCGCTAGAGGAAATCCACCGGCCCAGCAGAGTTCCGTCACTTGCTGAGCTACAAGATGGAGATCATCTTCCTTCTCGGCTCCACCACAGATATCATCCACATATCTGCCACTGGTCAACGGTGAGATAGCCAGAGGGAATCGCTGTCCCTCGTCCTTGACCAGCTGGTCGAGAACCCTACAGGCGAGAAATGGAGCAGACTTGGTCCCGTAGGTGACAGTGGTGAGCTGGTAGGTGCTGATCTGGCCCTGAGAATCGCGCCACAAAATTTGTTGAAGAGGCCAGTCTTCCTGATGCACCTTGATCTGACGGAACATCTTCGTGATGTCCGTCATAAAGATGTACTTGCTCTGTCGAGACCAGAGAAGCACGTCAGAGATGTCCTTTTGCAATTTGGCTCCAGTATGCTGAATGTCGTTAAGAGACAACCCTGAGCTTGTCTTACTGGAGCCATTGAACACTACTCTCAGCTTTGTAGTTTCACTACTTTCCCGGAGAACGCAATGATGAGGAAAGTAGTATGTAGGAGCAGAAGAGTGAGATTGCCTGAGAGACGAACACCGACCGGGACCCTGATATGATTGCCCCCCCTCCGTGACCCTCAACCCTCCTGAAGCCGAAGCTTCATGTGCCAAGGTCATCCCGTCAGGTTGACAACCCAAGACCCGAGAAGCATATGAGGCAGGCAGAACAGGAGCACGCACCATGTGCCCCAACTCTTCATACTCCTTGAGAAAATCACTGTAAAGCTGTAGAGAATTCTGATTCTTTCCCAACCTCCTGAGCAGGCTCGAGAGACACGCCTTGGCGCGGCCTAGAGAATCACCGAGCTCTGACGGAGAACGAGCAAGAGGCAGTCGAACAACATAACGCCCCGAGCGATCTCGAACATGGGTGCGCTGAAAGAACTCCTCACAATCTGCCTCTTCCTTCGTGAGAACACCATCATTGCCTTCAGTTTTAGAGACTTCCTCCTGCTGCCAGAACGAGGTGCGAAGATCGCCAAGTTCCTCATTGCTGACAGAGACGTGATTTGAGCTTGCCGCGGGGATCACTGCGGATGTAGGTCCGAGAACCACCCACCCGAAGAGAGTAAGCATCGCTATAGGGGAGTCTGACGGCCCCTTGATAACCTGCGGCTCCACAATCGATCCAAAGAAATCTGCGCCAATGAGAAGATCAACAGGTCTTGACGTCAGATAATCAGGATCAGCTAACTCCAATCCTCTGAGATGCTCCCAATGTTGAGTTTGAGAGACCGTGAACGAAGGCAATGAAGATGTGAGATGATCGAGTACATAGGCCTTGATGAGAATCTGATTACTTGAATACAGAGACTTGAGAGAAAATCGAGAAAAACCATTAGATGAAGACTTTGATCCACTAATACCAACGACCGGTAGCAAAGCTGGAGATACCGATAAGCCGAGCTTCCCCACAAGGTCATTTGTAGCAAACGTCAGCTCTGAACCAGTATCCAACAGCATCCTAACCTCGTGAAAAGAGCCATCGTCCAAGACGAGCGAGGCTAGCGCTGTGGCGAGAATAACACCTGGTCTGAGCTGCAGAGAGACATCACGATTGTTCGGTGCTACAAACGGAGAATTACTCGCCAGAGTCGGCCGTAGAGAATGGTCACTTATCGACGACGACTCTGGCGCAATCGTTGGTAGAGTACATCATGGTTGAGCCATGTCAGGCCTCGAGACAGTGGACTGTATCGGTTGGTTGGACTGAAGAGCCTGCGATGTGTGAGGAGCCTGCAGAGTTTGATGAGGCTGAGGAACCCCTTGCTGTGCCGACTGAGGGCGATTGATATGAATCATCGAGTGATGATTCTGTCGACACACGACACAAGTCTTCTTGAGGCTACGGCAATTCTCTCTATTGTGCCTCCCCAAGCAATTAAAGCAGCGACGCTTGAGGACTACAAACGATCTCCTCTCTGTAGGAGATAAAGCCTTGAATTTTGGACATTTGTCCAGAGAATGCTCCTCTTCACACATCGGGCAAGCACGAAAACACATCTCCGCCCAACCTTGAGACTGCGACCTTTGAGCAGCTTGAGACGTACTGCTAGTAGAGACATTCACCCCTGCAGGCTGCGACGCTGGATTAGCTGACACGTTGAGCACTCGGGCTGGTTGAGCTCCTTGGCTAGGTGGATACACTTTGGTCGGCCTAAGCTTCGAAGCCTGTTGAGGATTCGTAGAGAGAGACCGAGAGGTAGCCGACTGAGATGGAGGAGCGTGCATTTCAATTCTCTCCTTCGCCCTGGCCCGGCTGAGAACAAAGTCCTTGAGAGTCGCATAAGTGGGAAAATCCGTAGACGAGCCTATCTCTATTTCCCAATCCTCCAGCGTCTTGGAGTCCAGCCGACCTGTCACGAGATGGACAAGCATGTCGTCCCAATGCTTGACAGGACGTCCGAGAGACTCCAAAGCATTCAACGCTTCAGCTACAGAGTTGAGAAGTACGTTAAACTCCCTGGCTGAGCGATTGACGACCTTTGGAGCAGAGAAGAGCTTCTCCAACTGAGTGGAGATGAGCAACCTTTCGTTGTCGTACCTCGACAAGAGAGTATTCCACGCTGGCATGAAGGAGTCTTGCGTCACTGGCAAGGTAGAGATGAGCTGCTTGGCCTCGCCAGTGAGAGAAGTGAGTAGATAGTGGAATTTCTCCACGGTAGAGAGAGAAGGATTACCGACAACCATAGAGAGGAAGAGATCCTTGTACGGAGTCCACTCCGAGAACTCCCCTGAGAATGTCGGCAGAGAAATCTTGGGCAATTGCCTCTGAGTCACCTGCGCCGATTGAGTTGTGGCAGATGGCCGACGGAACGACTCAGAGAGGTCAATTGACTCGTCCAGTCCTTTGATCAACCCCATAAACGTAGTTCGAGCGGCTGAATACGTCACGAGACATTTATCATAGACCCCCTCTTTCACGTACGCATGGTCGAGAACTTCCTCATTATCTTTTGCCGTCAACAGCTTGAGATGCAACGCGTCGAACATGATCCAATGATTCTCGATGATTCTCGAGCATGTCCAGCTTGGACTGGAGCTCAGTCACTGTGAATTCATTCACGTTCGCAGCGACTGATTCAGCCCTCAAACTCTCAATAAATTTCGCCCTGCTGGCCTGGATCAGGAGTCTCCCTTTGAAAGACATGCTAACGCTAGAGAAACGCAACTAAGCGAGAGAACGCCCAAAAAAACAAAAGTCTCACACCGCAAGCGATAGCTAGTAGCAAAACACGGAGAACTTCGTAGCAAAAGCAGTGCAATAAAGCAGCAAGCAAGAGAAATGCAGTGGTAATCAGGAAAAAGCAGCGGCAATCAGGAAAAATTAATTAAAATGAATTAATATAATTAACTTCCCTTTGAGAAGTTCCAATTGCTGTAGAGATGCTCCGTTCTGCGTTGAGAAGTTCCGTCGGCAAGGTTGTAGCCCTAAAATTCGGCGTCGAGCGTCAAAATGGCCGGTCTAGACCACTTGGTGTGGCCTGATGGGTGGAGACTCGAGGGCGGAGCGGTGGGCGGAGCGCAAGGCGTTGCGGTGGGCGGAGCAACCGAGTATTTGGCGGCCCGCCTGTAACCCACGTTTTTCACCGGAAATGCACTAACAAGTTCCACTCACTAAAAAACCACTTAATTAACCACACATCCGGCTCGAAGGACCAATGTTTCGGCGAGAATTTAACAATAAAAAACCGATGGAGCACGGATGAGGGTTAAGGAGTGGGATTCTGGAGAACTGAGAGCGACACGAGACACGCTGAGTTTGTCACAAGGAAAACTGTTTATTCCGAGTCAATTTGAGATATGGGTCGAGAAATATACACAAAATCAGAGCCGCGAGCAAACACTGTTTCCGTTAAACACGGTAGAGAAAAACGATATGTTGAGATGCACACGCGGTTTAGAGATAACCGTTTTAGAGCAAAAAAATGACGCTGCACAGAGAACGACCGTTGTGAGTGAATAATAATAATGATTCGAGAAGACGAAGGTCAGCGCTACCGGTGCGTGGTTGGAGCACCTACATGGCAGCGCGGCCGGTCAGGCAGAGCGAGTCAAGGAAGTGCTGCCACCCCTTGGACCTGTCGAGTANGGCACTTTTCGAGAACGACAGTAGTCTGAGTTTGAATGGCTTATCGATTCAAAAGACCAAATTATATTTTTTGAAGAATATGATACTCATTCCAAAATAATGATAGAGCCGGAAGAATCAGAATGAGGTAATTGAACAGGACCGATAACAGCCATCAATCAATTAATTCAACAATTCTAGAAATCAATGTTATTCTTTCAGAAATTCCTAATCATAATTCAGGAAAATTATCAAGATGACGATGTTCCGATTCGCCAATCTCCTTCATTTATCAAATACAAAAATCAGGGTTCAGTAAATTATCCTCTTCTCTTTATTTCCTCCATCCTTCATCATGAGATGAATCTGAATCTATTCCTGATTTTTTTTTCTTACTTTTCACCCCGAACAGGACTTTTTTTTAAATTAATGCTACGCCCCCGTATTTTGTGTCATTAATGGCCAAAAAAACACTTTCAGATGAGGTATATTCCACCCCGGAAATTACACACACAAATTTTCCATTAATTGGTGTCTTCATTCCTCCAAATTGCCAACATATTGACAATATAAACAGCGAACCGTTTATATATCTCCGGGAAATTTTGAAGATTCCTTCATTCCATTCAAAAATAATCAAGGGAAACCAATATTTTTAGTTCCTATGATCTGATTTTAACAGCAGGGAATCAAGAAAATGAAGGATCAATAAGAAAATAAAAAATCGAATTTTTTAATGCTTTCCNCATTTTTTAATGCTTTCCTGAACATTTTAAATTGTTTTTTTTTTCGAAACAATCATGGGACATCAATACTTTTTGGTTATGTAATCTCATTGCAATGGAAGGGAATGATTAAAATACGGAGAGAGATGATCAGCAAAAAAATAAAAAAATCGATTTTTTTATATTTTCGGAAAATTCAAAATTTTTTTTTTTCAAATAACAATAATACAAAATAATAATAATACCATTAATATCATTAAAAATATAATATTAATATTTTTCATTTCTATGATGTAATTTTGATCAGATATAATAGAAAAAATGCAAAGAGACATCATCAACAAAAAAACAGAAAAATTGATTTTTCGATGTCCCCGGAAAATGCTAAAATTGGCTTTTTTTTTTCAATTCTATGAAAATTTCTACAGAATCCTTTTTTATTATTGCAGTTCGATAAAATACATTGAAAAAATACCACAGAGGGTGAATCGAAGATGAAAATTTTTATCGGATTATTATATAGAATAGCAAAAAGACATACAATAAAATCAATTTCTTTCTTATGAGAAAACAATTTTGAGGGCTGAATTTTTTTCGTATCTGGCACTGTTCCGTCGCAAAACTGTCAGAAACAAAAAAATTTTCAGAATGTTTTCCCCATAAGGCAGCCTAAGATCGTTAATATCTCATTAACGAAAAGTTGTATGGAAAACTGTCAGGCTCACCAACTATTTACAGCATTTAATAATAAACATTTTTTATTTCAAATATTTATTTTCATTGAATTCTCCAACCGAGGCGTTTCAACGCCTCGGTGCGCGCCGATACTTCGGGCAAAAGTACGAACAGTCCACCTACTTCACTCCCACCTCCGATAACTCTTTATCCATTATAGCTAAGGGAAAAAGTTATAGGACAAAAAAAGTATTTTTACATCTGAAACCTTTTTGGCTTGATACTTTTCCCCGTATCATTTTTTCTATATGATTATTCCAACAATTAGATTGTTCATAACAATAGTAAGGCCCACATTCCGACTAAAAAATTACCACGATATTCGTGTTCTGCGCCCCAGAATGCGTTTGAATCAAACGATGTTGATTCAAACTCATTCGGGAGCGAGCGCAGAACACGAATATGTTTGATTCAACTCCAAATTGTGCTTTTCGGTAAACTTGCATTATTTTTCGATTAAATTTTCGAAATCATTATCATTAACCATAATCTGGTCACCATATGAGTATTCGCTACTTTCGTCGTCTCCGCAGGGAATCGCCGCCGTGTTTATTGAGGCTCGGGCGTTGCCGAATTCACTGTATTCACGCCGCAAAATGGGTAACTTCATTTAACCCCTCAGGTACAGGGTCGGTATGTCATACTGACGTGTGCAAAAACGCATGACTCTTTTCAAAATGGAATATTTCGGAAACTACGGAAACTAATGCTATCACACATAACATTGTTAAGGTGAATACTGATAGCTTCAATTCTCTACCGAAAAAAATTTAGGAGGAGTATCAGTCATGAATTTTATCAAATTTTTCTATGCATTTTTAATCCCTATTTTGAATGATAAAAATTAAATTTTCGATTTTTATAACTTTTCATATGTAAAACGAATTTTTCATTTCTCGAACGTTTTTTTTCATGTTCTGGGATTTTGATAT